GCATAATTATTTTAGCTGATTTTATTGATTTTTTTTTTTTTTGTAATGTCTTAATATTGATTCTTTCTTTTAAGGTTTTTAATTTGAATTGCCTTGCTCATGAAACGTGCTATACAGATAAACGTTCATTTCTGTTACATGGCATGGGAGATCCACTCATTTTCAATCAATACGTCTCCGTGTTTTAAGCTAGCGATTGCTTGATATGTCGAGACCCAACCGACCTTATGTGTTGTGTTTTATAACAGTAATAAACAGTATTTATAATGTTAAATTGCATGAGCGCTCACTCGTCACCAAAATGCACCGAGTGGGCATCATGAGCGCGTCAGTGGGGAAGCCACCTCAATGTGCACACACCTTGTTTTTTTAAAATGCCCATGTAAGAATCCGGAATGGGATATTTATTTTTTTTACGTGAGAAGGATTTGACCGGATGACGCGATTTGAACATACATTGTATGTTGATGTCATATGTATGCTTGATTTATTTAGCAAACATAGGTAGGAGCACATTTCTAATTTGAGTGTGACTATCTGTTGCAATAATAATTTGCATGGCCAGACTGAAGAAAAAGCCAGCTTCTTTTCCTTATAATGATGAACATTCATTCACAGGGGGCTGGAGAATGGAGGCTTATGTGATGAATATAAACTCATAAGCGGTGATGGCGTAAGAGGGATAGAAGAGGTCAAGGAAAATGAACAAGTACAGCATTCAATATTAGCCAGCATTTTAGTCAATAGCTCACTGCATGTCACCAGCAAACTGGCATACCGTGTCATTTTTACAGTTGTAAAAGAAATGTCTTTATGAACACTTTAGCTCAGTTTCCGCTCTCCTGTTGGTTATTAATTCCAAGGGAAGTGAAGTGGCTGCAGTCTGTGGAGCGTTTCGGACACACCCAACATCTGGCAAACTGTCATTTTCCAAGCACTCCCAAACACAGTTGCACTTTCTAAACAAACACCGAGGCCTCATGTTATCAGACATATTGGTGCCTGCTTTACCTCTTATCTGAAGCAATTCAGGAAGTCGCGTGAATTATTTTGCAATGAGACAGAAAGTTTGCTAATTGTCTGAACTCTAACTCAAGTTTCAACATGCAAATGAGTTTTGCATTGCTTCTAGTTTTTTTTTTCCTTCAAAAAATGGCCATTTACTCGTTGATCTGAGATCATACAGACTGACAGACTAGACAGCAGCAATTGTATGCTTCTGTTTTTGTTTTAGTTTGCTTCTCTGGGCGGGTTACAACTGGGAAGGTAAATTCCTTGTTTGATTTGCATAATTGGCCAATCAGATTCTGACTTCTCTCTACAGTGGATGTTATAAAATCTCAAGAAAAATTCAATCATATACCCTGGAGAGAGAGCATGTGATTCCTTTTCACTGCCTTGCTCAAATGCATGAAGGCGTTCTATATTAACTGTTAGACCTGTGTGTTTGTGGCACTCAATGACTGTTTAAACTTCCTGTTTATAATGGCAAGATGAGGAGCTGCTGACAGCTGTTAAGTGTTTAGCTGGTTGTGCTACATAGCAGTAGTTAAAGCAGTTCAGTGAATATAGGGAGTTTTTTTGTACAGTTAAAATCCACAGCCATTGCAAAAAGCACAATCCTCAATGCAAGTACAGTAGTTAAAATTTGCTGTCTTATTCTGAATCATATATTACATACATTTGTGACATTAGACCAGGGGTGTCAAACTCATTTCACATGGTGGGCCACATACGGCCTCGGTAGATGTCAAGTGGGCCGGACCATTAAAATGATACCATACTTTGCTATAAATAACCAAAACAATATGTCTTTCCTTTGTTTTGGTATAAAGAAGCACAAGAACATTAGGAAAATGTTGAAATTTAATGAACATATCTTTTACAAAACATTTCATGAAGCACCTTACATTTCCTTCGACAAATGTGCAATTTACTTTTATCATTCACATATATGCATTGCAACTGATCCCACTGATTTTACAAACTTTAACAAGTAATTGGTATTGAAAAATATAGTAATGCACTTTAAGATTAAACAAGATTCATAAAGAAAGCAAGTTTTAAAGCATTTACACGTGCATATAAAATCTAAATGTAATCCCTGCCTACACCTTACAAACTAAGGAGAGTGCTATTAAATGTGTAAATGTGAGAGTGCTATTGATAGCGTCTGCTGTCATGGGTCTGTCTCAGTGACAGACTGAGGCTGCTGTTGTCTTCTTCTCTGATCAAAACAGTGTCCCCTTGCGGATACTCAATGAATTGCACCTGATTAAAAATATTAATTCTGTGTCTTTAATGCATTTTTTTCACTTTTACATTATCCTGCGGGCCTGATTGAACCTACTTGCGGGCCGGTTCCGGCCCGCGGGCCGTATGTTTGACAACCCTGCTTTACATAATCATCTCGCGGGCCGGATTAAACTCCTTTGCGGGCCGGACCCGGCCCGCGGGCCGTATGTTTGACACCCCTGCATTAGACATTAAATATCATGCTAGAATTTCAGTACTCTTTTAAGGTACTCGTAAATGTATGTACAATGGGTAAAATGATTGTAATTTTTATCAATAATGTGCAATGGGGGGATCTTGGATTTTTGTTTCTAATTTTTGAAAAAAAATCTGCGTATTATTTATGGGAAATGATTTAATAGCCCTCAATCAAAATAAATTGGTGAAGTGATTCCCACAGTTCATTGTTAAATGTACAGCATTTTTCCATTGTACCAGTAAAACAGTTATGGAGAAGTAGCAGCAGTAAAGAGTCACTACCTTTTCATTTGGCTTTTGTAGTTGGCCCTTCTATACATGCAAAGTTTGCAGCATGAGGTCATGCATACAGTGCATCACTGGGGGGCGACTTCAAAGAATTGCAGCTCTTCAACACTGATCTGGCCCTTGCCCTACGTTCAATGTGTCTTTTCTCAGTTGCTGTTGTTGCAAAGGTGTCTACCTATTTTTGAGATCTAAAAGGCACTTTGTTTATCTGTGCCATTTCAGTGAACATTACACATCAACTTTTCATGTGTTATGTACTAAAAAGAAGATTTATTGTGTGCTCTGTAATGACAAAGTTCAGACAAGTTGGGGCGGGTTTGTGCTAGTGTTGACAGAAAGATAGATTTCACTCAAATGTGTTGAAGCAAGTTCAGAGGTTGGCTTGAAATGGGGACGCATTGACTAGTATTACTTTTAGAATGACACACTGTACGATCGCATAGGTCACACTCTTTGGAAATACAGACTTCAGTTAATCCGGCAGTGTTAAAGTTTACGCAATCTGACTGTTCCCCTCATAATTTTAAATTAATTCAAAGGCCTGTCTTTGTCTGACCCCACCATGTGCTCGTTTCTCATATTGATACGGACTAATTATGAGTTGTGAAGTAGTCTGCAGTGCCTTAATGTAATCATGAGCTTCTTCAATGATTAACCATTAATCGGCTTCTTTGTTCTTTTCAGTAAAATACAAAATTGACCACCTGTGCTAAATAAAGGCATGGATTCACCGTGACACTGAAGAGCACATCTGTATGTTTTTGCAGTGATAACTTGGCACTCCACGTTAAGTTCTAAGTAATTTCACATGCTGAGGATATCTACAGAGGAACACCCTAATGCCAGATGCAGAGACACTCAAAATGTACATGTTTCACAATGATAGAGTCCATGCTGTGGAATACTGTACACGTAATGACCACATTAGACTCACCACAATTGTGCTTCCAGTTGCTCTTTAAGAGACACATCAGTTACTGTAAACTGTATGTTGACTAAATCGATAAGTCCATCGCCTTGTCCTAAGTATTCGGAGTGTGTCTGTGGAATGTTTTGAGAAAAAGTTTGTGTGGTCAATCCAAACCTAAGGGAGGACCTGGCTCAAAATCGCAGTGATTTAAAACATGTTTGCTGATACTCTGTGTTCTCAGGTACTTCTGCAACAAGCTAATTTTATGTCTTTATGCACCTTGCTTTGTGCACTGGGCCACATACATACAGTACATGCTGGAATTAAAAAAGAGAGCCTACAGTTGAGCAAAATGCGCCATCCATTTCATGGGTGAAGTGAGGTGTGCCTAGTTCACTGAGCAGCTCAACCGTACAAAGAATGTTGAGATGATACACTGTGTCTCCTCTTCTGCCTTGGTATGCAAAACAAGGCAGAACCCTGACTGACAATGTTTTTTTTTTTTTTTTTTAAACTTTTTTGCATATTAACTGCGAGGTGATTGGAAGTTTTTCAGGTCAACTATAAGTCCTAACTCCAAATATTGTACACTAAAAAGCCACGATCAATAAGTTAACTGCTCGTGGAGAGTGGAAACACATTCTTCCTCTGCCCCCTTGTGGAGGAAACGCCTTATTGACGATTCCTGTCTTGGCTCTGAGTTTTTGTTATTATTTTTTCTTTTCACGTGTATCTTGTCTAAAAAATTCCAAGCAGACTTGACCCAAAATGAATGTAGATGGACAGTAATACCTTATCACATTAGTATGTTTTATTATTTTCATTTAGCACAACACATTACAGTATTAGTGTGAATCTTATTTTGTGGTAAAACACTGTCTGCAGCAGCAGATAAACGCTTCTCATGTCTCACGCATGAGCCAGAATCCACAAAGGCCCTCTAATTGCTCGGCGAACGTGGTACCCTACTTTGATGTTGCCTGCCAAGGGTCATATTGTGCCTCTCCTTTGAGTTTAGTTTTCTTTTTCTTTCTTTTTTACATTTAAACTCTCCTCAAATGCAGAAAGATCCAGGCCGGCAGAGTTAAAACAATTAAATATCATTGCACCTCGCAATACAAAACTTTGCCATGGGAACATGAATCATTATTCAGTGGCACATACTGTAGCAGCAAAGCCTGAGTGAAATCTTTTGTCAAGACCCACTGAACAGTGAGAGGGGGAAAAAAAAAAGCTAATGACCTCATATCCTTTGCCCCCCTGCACCTCCCCGATCCCCTTTCTCTTTCCCGCCTCGCTTTATTACTAGGAGCTACGACCAAATGAGTGTTTCAACAGCGTACTCATTCCAGACTGAATCGGACTGGGACCTTCGTTCTGACTCCAACTCCATGATCTACTTCAACATGCCTCAGCAAGGAGGTTCCACTTCGCCATCCAAGTACTTCAAGGTCAGTGTTAATCCCTGACAATCAAATTCAAAATGTGTGCACATCCTATTCCTGTCCTGATACCTGCTGTGATTTTCATTGTTCTGTTTCAAGTTTGGTTTCTGAGTTTGATGTTAACGCATAATTAGAACTGCTATCCTCTACATTTTAGGGTAAACATTCCTTATTTACTGACTGACTTGTCTTCATTTTAATGAAGCCAGTGTAGTGAAACAAGTGATAGTGTAGTGATAAAGTCCAGACGATGAGTACATTTTAAACTGGAATTTTACAGAATATTTGAGGTTACAGTTCAGTTGGACTGCATTACACTGTTGTTTCTAAAAATGTGGGCAACCATTTGTAGACACCAGAGAAACTCAGTCCAGTTCAATCCTGCCCATCTGCTGTGACCTCGATTAGAATAATTGCACCATCAAAACAAGGTGGCTACTGATTAACTTTACAACGTCGAATTGATTGCATTACTTTTTGCATTGCCTTGATTGAGTTGCTCTTGCCCAGCAAATGTTGCAAGTTTCCTTTGCATTTTGCTGCACTTGGCACCAAATCAAATCCACACCTGTCTGCTGAATCAAATTAGAGCGCTGTTACTGCATACCGTTGGTCTCTAATGTAGTTCTGTTTAATTTTTCTGCCTGACTCGCTCAATTATTTGTCACCACATTTTCTTTTTAAATCCTGATTCTTATCGTCACTTTTAGACAGTCCTAGCTCATTTCTGCCGGCAGGGGTCGCAAGCTAACATGTCAGATAACCAAATATACATAGTATCCAGTGCGAGTCTAGATGAACATTATCCCGTGGGATGTCATTGCCCCAGGGCTATATCACGACTTGAACCTGAAAAACCTGCTCTACCACCTTGTCCCACCTCTGCATTGCTGTAGCCGATGAAAAAAAAAAAACACTCATTTTTACATGTGCAACATTTGATTCAGCTCAAGCTTTCCTTTGAACTTTGAGTGACAGTACTTTCATTCAGCACAAAACGGCGCGTGTGTGTGTGTGTGTGTGTGTGTGTGTGTGTGTGCGTGC